CCTTCAACGTGCAAAGTGATGTTGCAAGACTGGGTGTTACCGAGTTCCGTTCTGAAACTAGGAATTAGTTGAATTTGACGGCCTCTCGCACTTGGGTAGCTGCGTGACCAACGACGGTAGCTCATCAAAGGAGATAACCGCCTGCATTTCCAAGGCTCGAGCAGCGTATGCAGGACTTAAACACCTGTGGCGGCGATGTGATGTTTCACTTAAGTTGAAAAGCCCCGTATACTGCGCCACTGTACGATCAGTTCTGCTGTACGGTTGTGAGACCCTGAATTTGCGGATAGAAGAGCCGTCGTTTAGCAGCGTTCGACAATCGATGCTTACGTAGTCTGGCCCGAGTGGGATGGTGTGAGGGGGTTAGTAAGAAGTAAATCGTCCGGTTTTTGAGAATACATCAAACAAGAATTCGCTATCGCATCGAATTCAGCTCCGTTGGTAAGGACATTTTGCGTATGCCCGACGGTCGTCTACCGCAACGCGCCTTGTTTGCAGTGACTGTTACAGGCTGGAGAAATCCACGTGGAGGCCAGCAGATGATGTGGAGATGACGCATAAAGAAATGCACAGAGCAATTAGGCAGAGCAGATGTCACTCGTCTTCCGGGTTGGGGTCTAAAAGACTCAGCAACCGCATGGTTGGAGAAACTGAAGGTCATAACTGCGAACCGACAGCAATGGCGTTCATGCTGTCACTTATTATCAAGCCAAAGTGCTTTAAATTGTACGTCTGCACGGTCGAACTGTTTACTCTGTGTTGACCATAGAGGTTCGCTTTCTCTTTCCGTCCCTAAAAATATTTCTAACTCCCGTCCTCCTTACACATTATCACTTACCTTGTGTGCAATATAAATTTGGCAACGATCAGTGAAGTTCACTTCACTGTGTTACGCTGTACAATGATGATGATGATGGTGCTTCTCTTAGCGATGGCCATGCGTACGCGCATTGTTCTGCTGTAACGTACTTCATTCTTTCTCTTCTTGCTCATTGCTATGATGATTCATTCATTTTGGTCCCCCAATTCCTCATTTCACCTACTCCATCATTCTCAAATCACTAACGCTATAACTAGAACTTCTCACGCTATTGGGTGCGGTTTGTGACTTGGTCGATGCCGGTGTCAGTGTGCTGCCATGATTCATAAGGTATGTCCGGAATGTGGTGTCAGAGGGTGTTAACACTCAACTCTCTTGAAGTTGTTGCCACATTCGGTATGTGCAAAGTAATGCTGTTGGACCGGGTGTGCCTACTACCGCTTTGAAACTAAATGGCCAGGACTTAGTTATAATGAACTGCTTTTCCTACTTAGGTAGGCGTGACCAATGACGGTAGCGCAGCAAAGGAGATAACCACCCGCATTTCTAAGGTTCGAGCAGCGTACGCAGGACTGAAACACCTTTGGCGTAGACACGACGTTTCACTGAATTTGAAAGGTCGTGTTTATTGTGCTACCGTTCGTTCAGTTCTGCTTTATGGTAGAGAGACGTTAAATTTGTGAGTAAAAGATATCCGTCGACTATAATTTTTTGATTATCAGTGGGATGAGTCGATTGAGTTAGTAATCTGCAGGTATCGTGGGTTTGGGAGTCCATCAGGGATAAACCTACTAGCACATCGAATTCAGATTAGTGGACCTCACTGGCTAGGGCACGTATTGCGTATACCCAATTCGTCTGCGGCACCGCGCCTTATTCGCTGTAGCCGCTCCGGGCTGGAGGAAACCACGTGGAGGTCAACAAATGACGTGGAGACGAGGCATGAAGAAATGCACAGAGCCATTAGGTAGAGTAGGTGTCTCCAGGTTGGAGCCCGAAAGACTGGTTGGTCGGAGACATTGAAGGGTGCGGCAGCGAACCGACAGCAGTGGCGTTCTTGTTGTCATTTCTTATCAGGCCAGAACGGTCTGTATGCAGAGTTCGATCATGTACTCTGTGTGTTGGTCACAGAGGTTCACGTTTTTCCCTCCCTCAAAATAGGTCAAATCCCTGACCACCTTACACATTACCACTAACCTTGCATGCATTGCAAGTTTGGCAGCGATCAATGAAGTTTGTTTCGCTGTATTTCGTTGTTTCATGATGATGATGAGTTAGACGGAAAAAGAGCCTGGTTTATGTTCATTGTGCAACACAATACCTTGAGTGGTTAAGTCGCCATACTTTTGCAAATGAATGACTCAAGTATCCACTCTTAAGAAAGCTGTCATATATTTTTTTATTTCAAACTCAGTAGAGTCCATTAAACGAAATTCCCTAAACCTATTGATTAAGCAGTAGGTCATGATTTTGCTAGTTTGGATCAAAAATTCAGAAAGAATTAAAAATATATCACGGAAAAGTGGCAGGAAGCAGCAAACAAAGACTCGTTTGATTCAATCGATCCTTCGTGTCCCTTCGATTGTAGCCCCATACCCGTGGGGTATCGCTGATCGTAAACTCAGGAAGAGAGTTCGAAGTCGAAGTCAATACCGAACCGGTGCATTGACCACCTGTGGTGCCTCGTACGATTCCATTTAAAAAAGACAACTCAAAACTGTGAATTAAAACCCAACGGTCCATTCAGTATCTCTCTTCTTTTTGAAATGTGTGATTGCTTTTTCATAATTCCGGATATTATAT